TTCTGTCATTCGTTAATACTCCTGTTTTAGGATCGTACACCAGATCCTCAGAAGTCCAGTATCCTATTCCCATTACGAAAGCTCCTTCCACCTGGCCAACATCCAGCTCCGGATTCAAACTTACACCGGCATCTTCCATCAAATCGACCCTTCTGATAATGTGCTGACCGGTCAACATATCAATCTCCACTTCGGCGATAGTGACACCGTAAATGCTGTAAGGTTTGATCGTGTCGTTCTGTGCCGCCGCCATCCTGCCAAGGTAGGTGTATAATAATTAATGATTTGTTTTACAACAAAATTGTCCGTCTTATAAATACAAAATTGATTTATTTATCATCATCAAATCATACCGAAAGCACTTGGTAAATACGTTTAATTCTGATCTCACGAGGAACACGAGTAGATTATTTAAACTGCACTTTTCACAATTTACCACTTACGAATGACAACCGTTTCTTTTTCCGAATGAAAGCACAATATCTCTGGGGAAGATATCGAAATGCTTTACACAGCGCGGTTCATAAGTTTTGAGACAAAGTCATAAAATAAAGAGCGCGTCTTGTGGACCGCATTGTGCATGACGGTTTACATGACAACATATTAGCGATATATAAGATACGATTTAGTGGCATTTACATATAACGTGCGCATAAATCAACGTCCTTTTGATATGCCGCAAAGACGAGATCCTTCCAGCTTGGATTATTCATTTCCTTTCTCGTCGGCTCGAGTCTCCGCAGAATCTCTTCGCAAGCTCGGATCGTTGCCTAAAATAAATGCGACAATTATTATTAGCTTCGACATTACGTATCACGTTGTCTTCCAAAGTGTTGGAGACATATTGAATTGAATTCTTACATATCCGCATGTCTCCGTAGTAATGTTGCCCCCTGTAACCGTGTTGTTGGGTGTTGCTAAATTATTACTTGGTTTAATCGAGATTAATTCGAGATCGATGCCCAGTGTGCGGGCTGCTATTTGGGCGATCTAGTTAATTGAAGAATAAGTTTTAAATAACCAGGAATATAAAGTGACTTATTTATATCAAATCAAATTCCCTTCCAAATGAATCTGTCAAATAATTAATCTGTATTTGAGATAGAAAAAGATACAGCAAAATTTGGAAATCTTGAACATTACAATTTCAGTCGCGACTTTCAAATCTACATATTCAGTTTTATTGCAGTCCAGTTTTCTTTCTATTAATTTCCGTTTGTACACTAGTTCATCGCTCGTTGGACGAAAAGCATGAAGGAACTTGCTTGAATAAGTAATTGCACTTTCGTACCTTGGTATTTATACCTTGTCCGACCTCGATTCCGCCATGCGTTACGCAGACCGAACCGTCGCGAGCGCAGACCGATACCATCGCGCTGAATTGCCCTAGAAACATAATCGGATACCTCATCGTCACCATGGCGATTCCCTTTTTCTTCCAACGATTCTCGTTGTTGAACATCTCAACGGCCCGTTTCCGTATCTCGTAATCGGCCGACTTCGACAAATCCTTTATCATGGTTTCTAATGCGGCCTTATCCGTGTCGTTCATGTTCGCCAATCTGACCTGTACCGGATCCTTTTTTGTCACTTTCGCAATATGCTCCATTAAATTTTCCGCCATGGCTATTGCTTCCGTGGCTGACGGCCCCCGGCAGTGAGTGTTTGACGGTACATCGGTTCGCACCTCGAATCCATTGAACGTCCAACTATCCGTAGCATAGCAGCTACTAATGATCAAAAATTAAAATCAATTGTGAGTATAGATCGAAGTTCAATTGCGAGAGAGGATAAATTGATCTCTAAATTTGATTTATGCAATTCCAGGAAATTACTTTATCACGTTTAATTCATTTTACTTGCATTAATGTTATTATAATAATTTTTCTTTTCTGTGCTGAAGTTGGTGCAAAATTTTGATAAAAATTCGATAAATGGTATAACTTATTTCAATAGCCTTTCTGTATGCTTAAAAATTTTCCATTTAACTTGAAAATATTGAGCATAATCCAGAGAATAAATAGTAATGTTGTTATCATAAATTATTTATATTTTTGTTTATACTATATCCCGTATTGTCAGTACTTTTGAATGTAGGAAACCACCGCAGAAGCTTGTGGTTCGTTGAAACTAGAACCGCAGTTGCCCCAATGTTTCGAGTTAAGATACTGGATAACTCCGTCATCGTCCACTCCAATCTCATATTCTTGACGCGTGGAATACCTCTTGCCTACCGATTGCATGTTGCTCTCTATCGTCATGACGAATCGCGCTGGACGATTCAATTTGTGACATACCAGTGCGCAAGCACACGAGATTTGCGTGTTGCGTGAGATTTTTGATCCGTATGCACCACCTACTCGTCTGACGTACACATTGATACTAGAAAAATTAAATTCATATAGTTATAGAGCTAATTTAATTTTTAAAAATACATTTCTGGCGATCTTTTAATTTATTTTTTTCATTAGGGAAATAAAAACGCTTTAATATTCTCATTCCATATTAATTAAATATAGTTAATCTCAATTTTTATCTTAAGTTATCTCTTTTATAATATTTTGTGAGGAGAAGAAGAATAAGAAAATGAAAATGTATTGCAGTACTAGTAGAGGAAAGTCCCCTATCGTGAGGTAGGCTTTTAATATGAGATAGCAGGGGTTTCTATTAAATTAATAGGCATCATCTGTTGATTCCACCACGAATTTATTGCCTTTGGAGCGAAATCTGTTTAGTGAAAAATTCATTCTTGGATTGTGTGTAATCGTGGCAAAAATTTAGGTATTGAAAACCTGCTATCTCATATTAGAAATCTATCTCATAATAGAGGACTTTCCTCTATAAATAACGTTATTATCAATGGATCAGTTATATGTATAATTTCTTAATAGTTGAGGGATTAGTGAGTCACCTGTTATTCTTAACATTGAGACAATTCGCGATCGATACTTGAGTAAGGTCCATCCATTGCGATGATGGATAGACGGCCATACCGTCCTCCACAGGAACACATACGCAGGACTGAGTTTCCATGGTGAAGTGATATTGACCTCCGCATTGAAAAACGCCCTTTATCACTTGTTTAGTATTTCCTCCTGTAAGATGGAAAACGATTTCCATATTTTAATACCTTTTCTTGTATCTAATAATTAGTAACCGTTAGTTGCACTGTTTCGCAAGATTGCTTATCTCGATTTTTCTTCCAACTGCTTCTGTTTCCTTTCTGATAATTGTAATCGAAATGATAACTTAAATCTCATTTCATTCTTTATCAG